ACTAACGACCTTTCGGCACTCCTGAACACGGGCTTCATCCCATGTTCCCTTGGCTCTTAGTCGCTCCCACTCAGCGTCCAACGCTGCTTTGGCCTTCGGAGTTCGAGAAACCTCGTCGCGAGGAACAAGCCTGGCAACTGCACAGAAAAGCTCGAATGCGACTTGGAATTCGATTTGCTTGATGCGCTGTGCGATAAGCTCCCGAATCGGAAGACGATGCGGCTCAGGTTGATCAAGCACTTTCCGCGGCATTGCAGGTGCTCCAAACCTCATCTGCGGCATGGGCACGGCTTCCCAGCTGGTACTTGTGTCCGAAACACAAGGGCTTCGGCATGAACCGAGCTGAGAAGAAGTCGCTGGACTTGTGGTCTTTGAACCTTTGCTGGAGGATGACTTTGCTTCGTCCATTTCTTTCAGCAACTTTGCTCGATCTTTCGGGCCGAGCGTTTTCCAATAATCCGATGGAATGTCCTTGGGGCGTTTGCTGCCTTTGTACGTCTTCACCACTCGAAGACCATCCCAATGGTAACCTTCAGGAATAGGGACCCCGGCCGGCGTAGTGTCGGGCTTGTAGTCCTCGGCTTTGTCAGCTGCCGTGACTTCAATTTCGGGTTCCACACCCCCCTGTTCAAGTACACCTTCTGGAGCTTCGGATGGTGTGTACTCTGCGAGGTCAGCATCCGCAAGTGGAATCGGATTGGGAGACTCGATAAGGTTGAGCTTTGGGTCATCAGGAATAGCTTCCTTACGATCTTGTTTGACACGCAATGGAAAACTAAAACCGCCTGGAAGGAGCTCAATTTTCTTTGTCCTCTGGATCGTCAAACTGTTGTGTTCAACATGGTAGTCTAGTGCTTCCAACTTTGCAACTAGATACTCCCCACGCCATTTGTGCCCTGGCTGCACATGGTAACCAAGAAACACGCCTTCCACTGATGTTGGTGACAGCTTTCCTGCTGTATTGTCGGCTCGATTGGGGTTATTCCAGAACAGGACCTTTGCACCAAACGGAATGGCCATACCTTCAAACATTTCTCCAAAGCGCAGTTCCCATGGGCTTGGAGATGAGTCCAGCTGATCACTCGTGTTTGTTGCCATTGCAAAATGTTGAATGGCGAGTGGCCAGTACTGGAGGGGCATTCCGGACTGAACAAGATTGGTGCGTGCTCCCTCAAGCATGTTCCTAACTTCCCTTTCGATGAAGCTCTTGGAGGAGTCCACGTACTCAACGGAGGTTTGGTGGCGATACCCTAACTCCTTGATACCAGCTATCAGCTCACGGGAATTGTCAGTGTAAATGACCTCTACTGCATCATCCGGGGCTACAAAATGCTGAAGAGCAATCACTACCTCATCCGAACTCTTTGACTGGGATGGGTAAATACTCCGGAACTTTGTACGCAGGCCTTTCACAACCAAAGCTACCCGTTCGCCACGACTCCCTTCTTCGATGTTCGCGCGCACGACGACGTGGTCGGCGATCAGATGATCGCCGAAAGCCTTAGTCTGAATGCGGCTTTCACCCCCTTTCTTTCGTGCCTGTGGTGCAAGCATCCTCGCTCGCTGACACACTTTGCAGAATGGGTTCTTGGGGAAGTGGTGATACTGGTGTTTTGCGGACTGCGCTTCACGCATCAAGTCTCCAACTTTTCTTGATCGCACCAAACGGCTCTCTTCGTCGTCTGGCACTTCCTCGTCAATGTCCTCATCCTCTTTCTTATCCGATGGGCTCGAGATTGCTCCCGGCATAGCAAACAGCTTCTTCAGAGGCTTATCCTTCTTGAACTTGCCCTTTCCAAAGACTTTGCACTCGGAGTCGAGGACTGGGACATGACCATCAACACGAAGTTGAACGATTTTCTCATCTGGTCGCACAAGGATCGGAGTACCGTTTGCTGGCCACACGAAACTATACCCTTGGTCAAGGCATTTAATGCCAACTGAGAGCACAGCCGGGCATTCATCCAGCAAATACGGCGTGCAAGGCTCCAGCAGCTGCTTCATCTTGACATCAGCTACCTCGCTGGCTTCGGTCGACCCATTTGCAGTAATCAGACTGATGGTGTGAGGAGCCCGTCTTGGGTTCTCCGCACCAGCAGCATCCATAACTTTTCTGCTGAGGAGGTCTTGCTCACTCCCGGAATCGACGAGCCATGAGAACCTGCCTTCCCTTGGTGCTGGACCAGCAACTATTGTCGGGATGGTAGTAGGACATGTTTTCAACTTGATCAAGCTTCGACACTCACGACAAGTAAGCGACGATTCGATGCACAGGAAACGACATGAGGGCACTGTTGCGCTATCAAAGCTTCGAACAACTTCAGCCAACTGCCTAGCTTTCACCTTGGCCATGTGGGCTGCCTTTGGGTCGCTCTTGGGCACGCGATCGCTCGTGGCAAAATGCACACTGTACTTGCGCTCACGCTTGACCATCTTGCAATGTTCCCCGCGAGCAGGGATGGTGCGAATTTCAGGTTTCATAACGAATGTAGTTCTTCGGACAGACGACTTAGACCTCTTCCTCGCTGGAGGAAGACAGGACTTCTTGAGACATGATCGTCCGGGCACACCAGTTGCAAGACATGCAAACCGATTGCTCAGGCAAATGGCAGCCTTCTTGGTATCTCCTTTTGCCTTTGGCTTTGGGGAATCCTTTCTTGGCTTCGTTTTCGGAGCCGGTGCAGCCTTTTCTCCATGTTTGAAAAAGCACTTGTCTCCTCTTCTGCATGTACCTTGTTGATCGTACCTGCATGGGGTCTTCGCCATCTCTTCCTTAGTCATCCGCTTCTTTTCCTTATCTGTGCTTTTGTCCCTCGACTCATTCCGCTCCCGGGATGGTTGGCGCTTCTTGGAAGGGTCACGCTTGGGCTTTTCATGCTTGAACTTGCAATCTTTCCCTTTTGCACACTTTCCCTCCAAAAAGGCCCAACAAATGCCCTTTTCCCGAGAAGTGGATCGTCCGCGCGATGGCGAACGCTTTCGCCGAGGATCAACAGTAGGGGCTGCATTCTTCTCATGTCGATCACCTGGCTTGAGCCGATTTCGCTCCGCGATACGTGATCGATTCTCACGAAGGCGTTCCCGATCTATCAGATCCTTGATGCTTTGCAGTAGGAACTTGTAAGACCGATGATGGTCACCTTCTTTTGCACGATCGAAGAGATCAATGTCGTACCTCAGGATTGCGCTAGTGCGGATCTGCCTTAAAAGGATGTCTCGAAGCACGTTTTCATGCGGTGGTTCGGGCATACCAGCGATGGTAGCGTCCCAGCGGTTGATGAAACGCTTCAAGTCCGCTACAGTATCGCCTACCTTTACCACATTAAGGAGATCTTCAACCCTGTAGAGGCTACCCGCTTCTTCCGAGGTCTTGAAATAGTCATCGAACATGAGAAGAATCATCCTTCCTCGAACCTGGATGCCTAGCTTTGCCTTCTCTTCTTTGTAATTGATGATTCGGTTTGCTAGATCACCCTTTGCACTTCTGGTCAGTGCAGCTGCCAACTTGGTATCCAACGTTGTGAACTTCCCAGGGTTAGACAACCGCTCTTCCAGAACTTTCCTCTCATCAACAGTGTTGTAAACCTCCATTAACCAGTCCCAGGCAGCATCTGGTTTGTCAGAACATGACTTGATTTCGTCCCTCACATGATGTTTCCACTGCCGATAGGTTTCAGGGGTTGGCATGTCATTCAACTTGATATGATCTGCCTCCTTTACCTTTGGCTTCTCATCTGACTCTCTCTGTGTGAGTGACTTGACCAATTCAATCACCTGCTCAGAGGTGATAGCACCTGATGACGCTGGCTTATGGGGTTCGCGAATTGAAGGTGCAGGGCTATGGAACAAATTTGTCGGTGTTTTGCCCCCATCCGCTGCTGTGCCTCCGTAAACTGGAAGCACGGGCTTGAAAGGAGCAGCTGCCCCTGGTGGGGCATCACCGATGATGGTGGCCGTCGGCGCTTTGGGTGCGAACAGTCCACTCAAACGTGCAGTAGCCTCTGCTGCAATGGTCTCCAGAGGATTTTTCCTCTTTGTGTCATCATGCCTAGGGGTAGACACTGGTGTGTTCATGACACTTGTTGGATGGTACTCTAGCTCGGGTCCAGCATGCATTTTGACTTTAAGGTCATCGAGCATTTGCTGCAGGCTATAGTTTTCATTTTCTGCGTCGCGTAGCTCACGTCGAAGCTGAGTTTCCCGCTCATCAAACTCTGCACGAAGCGTTGCCACACCTTGCTCGGCACCGCTGGTGATGGCAGTGACAGTTTGCTGACAATCGTGCATGAGCTGAATGCGCAAGGAGTCCAGTTCTGCTTTTCTGGCTTCAGCTTCAATGGACCTTTCACTCTCTAGCTTAAGGATTCGTGCTTTTGCGGCACTTAGTTCCCCTTGCACTTGGTTGTGGCTAGATTGAGCTTGTTGCCTTACCGAACTGAGTTCATCATGATGCTTGCTCGCTACTTCATCGATTGCTTGACGAAACTTGGTTTTTACCATTTCCAACCATTGTCCCATTATCTCTTTGTGCCTTCTCTCTGCCTCAGCAATAATAGCATCTTCGTTTCCGTTGTACACTTGTTGGATGTTTTGCTGAACGAACTGAAAGTAAGCTGTGACAGGAGCTGAACCCATGGGGTCATCTAGATCCACCGTGGGCTCAGTCATGAGACCGGCTGGGACTGCTACCGATGATGTACCGTTCCCAGGAATAGCAAGAGCGTCCATGGCTGTGGTTAGAGCACTACGGCTGATAACCTATAGAAACAGCCGTTAAGCTGCAACTCCTGTTTTGGGCCGCGAGCTGCGAAGGTAAAGTCAACATGACATCCTACTATGTGCAAGGTACAAAATGTACATATTACATGGAGTGAAAATACACAATCTCATGATGGCGTGGCAAGGTTGCTGAATTGGACCCACATTTCAGCCACTGTTCGCGTCTGTGGCTTCTTTCGTCAACGCGACTGGCTTGTTTGCGCCAAAGGGTGTTGCCAAACCTGAGCTGGACTCCTCCTCGGTGCGGAAGACTTCCCTGGGACGCCTTGCACTTGCACGGAAAGGCCAATGAAAGCAAGAATTCCTCCTGATGAACCTCTGCCTCCACCCACCAGGGTTCTCAATCATTGTTCCTCTCATGAAGCTTGCGCGGCATACGGAGCTGCAAAAAAGCTGCTTCTCACTTCTTAGACTCATCTTGGGCCCATCTGCGTTCGCCCATTCTGGGCCCTCAAACTCGTGGCCCCAACGTGTGAGAAACTCCCTCCGTGCTCGATCGGAAGCCACCTGGCGAAAGATGGAAGCAGACCGACGAGGCGTTGTCGCTGCTAGTACTGAGTTCACTTTGGGGTTTTAGAGCACTCAGAGTATATACTCTTTGTTGCACCAAAGTCTGGGCAGCTCAAAGGATATCTGATGCATCTTGGTGAGGCCCTAGCCTTCTACAATGTCTGTGGCCAACCACGATATGGATTCCTTTCTGCACTCAGGCACTGCCGGCCTGACGCATTGGCCACAACTCCTGACGACGAAAGGATGTAGGCCCTGGCCATGGCGAGACCTGCCACCGCTGGAGGACGTTGACTCTTGGTGTCAAGATTCACTCATCATAGGACCTGAGTATGAAAAAGAAATCCATCAGGATGAGGCTTTCCAAAGTGATAAACCAGCGGACACAAACACATCTAATGCAGGTCGCGTGTGCTCGATGCGGATCCAGCTTGCTTTATTCCTTGTACGACAACATACTCCACGGCTATATCAACCACCCATGCAACAATGGTGCAGCCAAATCTGATCCTGAGTCCTGGCCAGCCTACAATAGAATTCACAGTGGAGAAAATGCCTTCCATCGCATCCAACTCCCCTGAGAGCTATAATACGGGAGTATAAGGCTCGCCTCATCTTTCTCCAAGCCTGGCAGCAAAGTGCATCAAGCCAGTCTCCACTGAGTTTTGCTACCGGATGATGTCCGTTAGCGGATCGGGCAGTAGAGTGACACAGTCGGTGGACAACATAGTTGAACAACAAAATAGTTGCCACAGTCCATGGACCAAATGGCTGTAACGTTACAGCCCTGGAACCGCCCCCGCAAAGGTCCATCAATGCGTCCATCTTCCATCGGGATGTGATTTTCAGTGTCGTGCAAAAGGGAGGCGAGTTGAACAGAACTCGAATCCAGTTGAAACGCCGAACACTTTGAGTCACAGAAGATAGCAAATGCACTAATATCTTCTGCTCGTTTATAGTACTGATTCTTCACGTCCAACAATATTGAGGGATAAGCTTGCTAAAGGCGCTTAACTCCCAGCCAGAGTGGCTCTCCAGCATCTGAATCCTCCTCCTGCCAAGGTTTGAGCAAGCAAAGAAAAACCTGCGTTTTCGACACGTCGCGTGCATCGCGATGAGACACTTGCCCTCCGGAAGTGTACCAAAGATTCCGTCTTTCGGGTTCCAAGATCCACCAGTGACAGGTCGGAGGCCATTGCTATTCGGTTCCTTTGGCAATTAGGTAAAGATGCTTGTTTCAGCGCCTCCGTGGCAATCGAGTGAAGTCGGTCGCCTTTACCAGGCGTTCACTGTGCCGTGCGCGGTTCTCCTGCCGAGCATGAACCCTGCAAGCCTTCCTTTTCGCGCTTGGCAAGAATTCGAGGTGAACAAAAAACAATGAAGCTTGCACCTACACGCACGTATTTCAAAGCCAGGCGCAAGGAGGTACGAGAAGGCACAAAGTTGCTAATTGCTCGCAACTTCAGATTCCTTGTTAGATGAACCTAATGCTGTTCAGCATGGTTTATTAGCCTAATTCTGAGTTGGAATCACCTCTACAATATTTGGAATGTAAAAATATACGGATTTGCGTTGCCTTTCGACCCGAATTCCTTCGGACCGAAGACGCGCCATGTCTTCCGCCGTGTCGACACCGCGCGCCTCCTCGTGTCTTCTCTCGATGACCGCGCATCGGTCCCGGTGCGTCACCAAGGATCGGTCCGGAGGCGTCTGGAGCCGGTCGCGGAGCCGTTCGCTAGGCCAGGAGCCCGTTCGTAGCCAGTTAGAATCTCGGTCCTAAGGTACCATAAATAAAGCATTTTAAAGATACGTGACGCAGAAGTGGTACATCCTAAGGTAAGTTTGGGATGGTTTGGGATGCTCTTGGCCGGCGTGGCCATGGCCTTCGTTGTCCAGCACCTTCTTCTCACTTTCTTGCCAAACGGTCAAAGGTGTTTGGTGGGACCTTCAATGTGGGCAATCGATGGCGGCCGCATCTCTCCCATGAAACTCTCGGGCTCCCTGGAGGTCAAACCAGTCACTAGGAACTTCAGAGAGGAAGAACAATAGAGGCCGGCATGTCGTTCTTCATTCTTCGTCCTCATTTCTCCCTTTCTCACGGCCAGGGTTGATTTTATATGATTTTTATGTGTCACTTTACGCTGTTGCCGTCTTCACTCGCCCGCCATCCTCGTTGAGCTCAGGCGGGGGTCGGTCCACCTGATTTCCACGCAACGGGCATGGCAGGATATGGCAGGGCGCCTGCCTGTACCCTACCAAAAGCCTCCCGAACCAAAAAACTAACAATGACCTTGTCAAATATCGATGACGGGGAAACATGGATAAGTCTCATGGGTGAGCTCTGGGTTTTCCATGCGCATCAAAGGCACCATCTTTTCTCAAAGATTGCACCTCTCCGATGATGTGCCCTCTGGATGATCAAATGTTGGGGCACCTCTCCGAAGATATAGCGGTCCGCCGGGGCCAAGAAACTATCCGCCAGCCACACCTCAGGATGAAAAGAGGTCGACAGACAAACAAGAACAAATGGTAAAAATGGACTACTGTACCCATTTCAACTGGAGCCAAAGCGATCACTAGCTACGCAATTCCAATATCCTTCAACCGATCTTCAACCCTAGTAGACCATAGTCGTAGATTTCAAGGGAAGGAAGGAACGAAAGAAGGAACAGGCCCAACTACCCGGCAGAGTTTGCTCGGACATTCTGTTGAAAACAGCCAACAAAGGTCAGAGAAATGAGTGTGCTCTGAACTCCCAAAATGACCGGCTGCCTATCAGGATTCGTGTCAAAAAGAGCAAGAAAAGGGCTGAATTCGTCTTTTCGGGAGGCATAGGCATTCGTTCAGCTGTACTGGATCTCAAAAGCAGTTTCTCATATGCCAGGGAAACTCCGGGCGGAAGCTTCTAAACAAGGGTAGACTATCGAAAGTATTGTTTTGCAGTGGCCGGTGGTGATGTTGCAGTATCTTGAGATGCAGCGCGTGATGTGGTGCATGAGGATGCGCGATGTGCTGACTTATCACATGGCGAACTCAAGGATGATCAGCTATCAGGTTGGAGGCCATCGCTATTGGGTTGGAGGCGATCGCCGTTCGGCTTGTTCCCTTTCGCACCCTGCATTGATCGACGCTTCCGATTTTAGCCCGCACTCTTGTGTCCAAGCAATCGCCAGTCACAGCTGGAAACTGCCTTTGGGTGATTGGCATGCTGCTAGTAGCTCCTGGCCATACTACTAGGAACAAGAAGCTACTAGGGGCTCCTGGCCTTCCTACTAGGAGCAAGACGCTACTAGTAGCTCCTGGCCATACTACTCATGGAAACTTCCCTCTGTTCTCAAAGTGGTATCAAAGCGAGGCGCTGGTGAATCTTCACCCCATGCAGCACCTGGGCGCTTGCACACTCGCACAAGGGTGTGTTATGGTGTGTCACAACCGATCAAAGCCCGCCCTACATTTTCTCCTCCAGTGAGGACATGGAACCGATTGCCATCCTTTCATGAATACAACAACGTCAGGGGTCGGACACTCAAAATGTTTGGCGTGATGAGCCCGAATGTTATGCCTTCCAAGCTCAGTGGAGCTGATGTTGCACCAACGCACAGTGACCCTCCGTGACAGAATTCATCAAGCGATGATTCTCAGGATGTCCAACAGAGTCCAACAATCATGTTCTTGACAAGGGTTGCCATCTGGGTGAACGAATCGAAGCTCAAGAGCTAGTGAAGTTTCCCTAAAGATCTAGGAACCAAATGAATAGTAAGCGCTTCTTCAAGGAAGCTTACCCCGCCGCCTTTGGGGCGGCGGGAGCTTCCTTGAAGGAGTGTGAGCTATCCTGCGTCCATACGCACTAGTTTCCTTGTAGCTACCAGCTATCTAGCTTCTATGTACTAGCTACCTAGCTACTACTAGCTACAGTACCTACCTCTACTAGCGGCCTACTCCCCCTCCCCAAAAAAAAGAATATATATAAAAGTTATATTGTAAAAATAACACCCTCAAAAACAAAAACAGCAAGTGTTTAGCAACACTGATTGTTGGACCAACACTCTCGGCATCCCTACGGGGCTTGGTCGCTGGAACCTTCAGAGACGGCTCATGTGCCCTCAGTCGCGTCGGTACACAAAGTCTCGCGCGGAACAAATGGGGAAAAAGAGCTTCAGCACAGAAGAACTCCCTATTTTGTATATATGTACTATATATATATATATATGTTGTATTTTGTTATATACTTTTGCAGTTCTGATAAATGGCCATATTTGCACGAGTGATCACTGAGTTTTGCGGAGTGCATCTCCTCATGCGCATCACTTATCTGTTGTGATTAATTAACTGTTTGCATCTGATCCTCGATCTGTTCCTGAAGTCTTTCGGCGACCCTGTATATGCTGGTTACCACATGTTACCACAGCAGGTTTTATGGCATGTACCGCAAAAGGCTCGTCATGACCAAGCAGTGTAGCGTCCAGCGTCCAGCAAAGAAAGGGCTATGTTCTGTGCAGGTTGCATCCCAAATGACAAGGTCACCCGGCACATCTTGCTGCACCCGTCGGAGGCTATAGAGCTTTTTGACCTGCACATACACAGCTTTATGATCCTCTTCTCAACTGCTCCTGAAGGATAACTCAACTCTTGACTCAAATCCGGGCACATTTTTGTCAGTGTCTCTTTCAGGCGACCCCCTTACATGTGTTTCCAGAAGAAATACATAATATATATATATATATGGTACCCCCCCCCCATGTACCCCCATTTCTGTGAGGAAGATATGTTGCCAGATGTGCAGGGGGGTACCATATATATTGTTTGAACTATTGGGGACAAGTCGTACTTCACACATCTATATTGTTTGAACTATTGGGGACAAGTCGTACTTCACACATCTGAAGGTCAAGAAAGTTTCAAAAAAATTTTAAAAGTTTTAAAACTTTTGGGAACTAAGAACTAAGAACTAAGAATGCACAGAACTCTTGGGGACAAGTCTTACTTCCCACATCTGAAGGTCAAGAAAGTTTCAAAAAAGTTTTAAAAGTTTTAAAACTTCTGGGAACTAAGAACTAAGAACTAAGAATGCACAGGAGAGTCTGGGGGAATCTTAGTTCTTAGTTCTTAGTTCCAGAAAGTTTTAAAACTTTTTAAAACTTTTTTGAAACTCTTGTATGGCAAGGTTTTCTGGAACTAACATTGCTGTGGGAGAGTGTGGGGAAATCTTAGTTCTTAGTTCTTAGTTTCAAAAAGTTTTAAAACTTTTAAAACTTTTTGGAACTCTTGTATGGCAATGTTTTCTGGAACTCAATTTTCTCTGCGAGAGTCTGCTGGTAAACTTGCATCACACTTGCCGACCCAGCTGCTCGTTTTGTAGATTTTAGACTCGTAGACTCCCTCTCAACTTGAGTCATCTTTCGTCATGCCGTCCTTTGCGGTGTCTGGAGATGTATCCATGTCCGGAGACAGTGCCCAGCTGAGCCTCCAAATTTCTGAGCCAACCATCGAGACGCCCAAGCTGGATTTCAAAGCTCTGTGGGAACGCATTCTGGCCGGCAACATTCCTGTGCACCCTTCACGTATCCCCCTCGACAGGAAGACTTTGGCCATCATCATCAACAACATCCAAAAGACAAGAAGCCTTCAGCCGAGAGGAATCAAAAAAGGTGTGTGGACTCAAGCCGCCGAAGAGGATCTACGCAAGTGCCTTGCTTCAGCGAAACGTGTCCCCGCAGGAAGCAGCTCCAAGCTCGCAATTGGCCCAGGCGATAAGACTGAGTTGCTGGCAGCCCGCCTGCAATAACAGAAACTTTCTCCAATGTCGTAAGTCGTTTGTCAAACCGACTTTGTTGTGGCATGAAGCAGGCAGCTTCTATGGATGATGCCATTTCCTTGACCACGTTCCTCCGAGAAGCGTGCCGGCCTTTGGATGGCATGAAGCAGGTAACTCTCCTTTTTGATGTGCAGCTCTCAGTGCCGGAATTCGCTCCAGTACATTCCTGCGACCAAGTGAACAACCTCCCAGCATGTATTCGACCTCCCCAGTCCCTTCCTGAAGGATGTCGCCTGGGCCTGGTGATTCGTAATTTGGAAGATGGTACCTTCGAGGTCGTCAAGATTCTGCACTTTGAGCAGGCCATCTCCACCAAAGAAGCGTTAAAATTACGCAGTGGACAAGCTTATGCTCCTGCCTTCCGTCCTGGTCCTTGGGCTTTGAAAAAGGCTTTGGTGTCTTTGATTGACAAGCTTCCAGGTTATCATGTGTCTTGGTTTGCCCTCACTTCGAAGCCTTCTACCATTCGGCGTTCTCAGACTGCCACGTGGGCCCCTGATGATGAGGACCTCCTTGCTGGCATCCAGTACATCAACGACAATGCCCCTGATTGTGACGCGCAGAACCAACAGTACTATTGGATCTTGTGCAACATCAAGGACAACTCCAACACTCCGATTTCTGGGTGGCCGGAGGCGAAGGTACGCACTATGGCTCAGAACAAGGCAAAAGGAAAAGATGGTGCCCCATTGGAGCATGACTTTCCGTTGCACACCTTCTCGTTGAAGCCTTTCTTCGCCAAAACGCTCCTGCCTATCTTGTACCCGCTCATGGTGAACTATGCTTTCATGCTCTTGGGCTGGCCTGGCGTTGGAAAAACTCCAGCAGCCATCGTCATGATGTTGGCCATGGGCAGGTACCATCAAAGACGTCTTGGCTTACTCACACCTCCAGGCTGGCGGAGGGCCAAGTCTTTAGATAACTTCCGGCATCGTCTTGACCAGGTCCATGAAGGAGTCTTTCTTGATGATCCCAATCGAGAAAAGATTGACTTGGCAGACTTGAAGTCATTTGTCACAGCGGAGGAGAACCAAACCTGTCACGGAAGATACAATGATGTCAAATTGGCCAAGAATTGTTGCCGAGTCTATGCAACAAATGATGTGCAAAAGGAAGATGAGCCAGAGCCAGACAACCGCATCTCCATTGACAACGCCGAGTTCCTGGGCCTCCTCAAACGAACATTCCCCGGAGACAAACCTGCGGATGTCATGGCGGTTCTCAAAAGGACAGTTGTCTTTATTTTCGGCTTGCATGCGCTGTACCTGCGGCTCCCCAGTCATAGTGCCGATGAGCCGATCTACCGGATCAACGTGGACGACTTGCACAAGGACTTGCTCGCAGAAATGGACAAAGAGTTCTACGGGAACTACAAGAGCGGCTTCAGCACCAAGGCACCTGATTTTGATGAAAAGGTGTCGGAAGAGCAAGCCATGATTGAGGCAAGCGTGACCAAATATCTACAATGTGTGCAGCCAGCTGAATATGTCAAGCATGCTAGAGATGCAGTGGAAGAGGCCTTGCTCCGCAACAGGCGCTTTCCGGAAATGTGGACTGCGCCTGAAAATTCACCCAGTTCCCTTGAGGAGGCGGTTGCTGCACCTCTCATACCAGTACCAGTTCCACGGCCGGCAAATGCCCCTCGGCGCCGCCCAACCTTCAAATATCCATCTCCCCAGAAACGCTTTCGCAAGAAAGCCTCGCAGTCATGTCCAAAAGAAAGTGAGTGCCAGCTCCACTTTCCCCAATTCACCTCCCCCATCTCCATGTTCCAGCATGGCTCATGAGGGGGGGTTGGGTCGGGTGACTAAAAGACAGCATTAGGGCTCTTGCCATAGTGTGGGAATAGACCTGCGCTTGCTGCGTCAAAAAACGTCCTCCAGAAATGCCAGTCAATTGCACATGTCGCTTTTTGGTTCGACTGCAAAAGTGAAAACCGTGGCAAACCTTGAACTGTGGTTTTGACACTCCCCACATGAGCAGACCGGTAGGTTTCTTCCATGCACAGTCATATTGGCAGGCGTCAAGACGAACCAAATGTACTCTGGGATCTTTGAGCAATCTTTGGATTTCTGGCGTGTGCCAGACCATGGACAGCCAAGGGTTCTCAAGATACCCCTTCCCATTTCGTTTGAGACTTCGTCGAATGACTCGGACTGAGCGTTTCAGCATGACGTTTGCAGATTCGACTTTCTGTGAGTCCACTAAAGTCACATTGTCCAGCCCATAGATGTGTTCACCCAGCTGCCTCAGAGGCTTTGGCATCCTCGACCATGCAGGCGCCCGTCTAGCTCTTGACCACGTGTTGCATGGCAGATCGATGCCCACTACGTCAGCTGAGGAAGCAATACGATCAATCTCATTCCACACTGAGTGTTTTCCCAAATCATTTGAGGGGGAATCAGAGAGATCAACAACACAAGCGCAACCTCCTTCCCTAGCAAAAAAGCGAGCGGGGTTTCCAACCCCTCCAAACAAACTGAGAAAGCTCATGCCTTGAAACATGCCAGGACTCTCTTCCTGACCTCTTTCGGCAACTGGAAGGTGCCACCTTGGAAGTACTCTGCGAAGTTCAGTCTGACCTGCTCTCCAAAAGTTTCCAAGTTCCGAGGCATCTTGTTCAGGATTTGCTGCAGTCTGCCTGGTTTGTCGTAGATGCGCGCTGAGCTGTCTGCTGCCCAGCGCCCCCGACGCTGGATTGCCTGTACACTCCTCACACCTTGCAAGTGGTCCCTCGAAGCCCCCCCATGTCTGTTCTGGTAGGGTGACTTTGCTAGCTCCTCTGCTCCTAAGGCTGCCACGCATGACCTCCAAACCTCCAAGTACTTTTTGGCATTGAAGTCCCAAAGATCTGCTTGGGGCCCCTGTTTCTTCTCCTTCTTTGCTGCCATGCCCACTGTCAACGGGCCTAGACTGCTCAGCCTCTTGTCGTCCAGGATCAACACCTCGTCGAAAATCCCAGTCTTTGACTCCTCCCCTCTTTCGAAAGGAGCAAGGATTATGATGTCGTTGTCCTCCTTCTTCAACTTCCCCACCACATCGCAGACTCTTGCCTTCATCAGCTCCCCTGGCCTGGCATACGTGGAGAATGTCAACTCGTTGAACAACGCCATCTCTGGCCACCCCTGGTGCAGCATCACTCCGGAGATGGCACTCTTGACGTGCTCCACCATTGGCAACCTGGTCTGGTTTGGCGCCAACTTCCTCCACCCTTTCAACGATCTCTTGAATCTGGGCAGGTGCAGGGTTCCACTTCTTGCAGCTTCTGGTCGGTGATATTCTAGAGCGGCTTTCAGCTTTGTCCCCGCATCGCTTGCCTCCCCATTTAGGTAGAGAAGGTCGGCATAGTCCACCAATGCTACATCTAATTCTGCCTCCGTGCCAATCGGGAGATCGAACCGGGCGATGAACCCGTAGAACCCGTTCAGCCTCCTCGCATAGTCTCTCCTCTGCGGCTCCTTCACGGAGTGGTCTTCCAGGATTCCTCTTTCTCCCCGAGTCGCACGAAGTCTTTTTTCGTACTTCATCTGTCTGGTCATTGCCTTCTGTCTCTTCTGCTTCACCAAGTTCAGCTGCTGCTGCAGCCCTGTGCTTCTTGGCTCCCGGCCATTTGGTGAGCGACTCCGACTCCGAGAAAGCTTTCTCTTCCTGCTGATTTGCCGTTCTCGGTCCGGGCTTTGCATCCTCCGATTGGCCTCCGCTGCTGCTGACTTGCTGAAGACTTTCACCTCTCTCTTCTTGCATGTCTGCCCCCCTCTCTGTATACCAACTGCTCTTTGGGTGTGACTTCGGCTCCCACTGACGACTTGCTTCGTCAGCAACATTCAGCTCTGAGGGCACCCAACGCACATGGAGTTTGGTCCCGGTTGCCAGGCTGTGTGCGGCAATGCGTCTGACTATTCTCAACAACTTGTAATTGCTGCACCTACCTTTCTGGATACTAAGAACCACCCCCATGTTGTCATTCAGGATGACCACCCGCCTTCCATGTTTTTTGCTATCCCTGCAAATGTGTTTGAAGGCACCTAGAACAGAACGTGCTTCGATGAGGTGAACAGGCTCTCGAAAATGAACCGGTGCATTCCAGAGCTTGTGCCAAAACTCAGGTTTCATGAGATTCTGGGAAACATCTGGAAAAGTGGGGTCCTCCTCTAAGGGCCCCTCAACCTCACCTCTCACAACGGGCATCACTGTCAAGATGTCCTCAAAAACCCCACTGGTGTTGAAAACCTGTTGACGTGGTGCAACCCGTGACCCATCTGTCCTCCTGAAACGCCAGCGCTCGTCGTGCCGCCCCAGTGTGGCAACCTCCTCCCATGGGAACGAAGCAGTCATCACGGCGTACCCCGACAAGCAAGCATCTGTGCACAGGAGATTGCTGTCCCACTCTGCTCTAAAAAAGCTGTTTCCAAGTGGCATCAAAACTCTGAAAAGCTCTAGTTCTTTAGCAACGCTTGCCCAAAGCCTCTGTCTAGTTTTGTAGCACTGCTCAATAAAACTGTAGCTATATCTCAAGACACTCATCAGACTGCGGTTCAACAAAGCTCGACATGTAATGTGTCCCACAACTACCTGTAGTTGCTCACCTGTAATGTATGGCCTGCGTGACAAAAACTGAAGAGCCCTGTCCAGGCGCCAATCCCTCTGGGCGGTCGGTTGCACTTTGCCGCCCAGTCCGTCGATCCTGACGCCCAGACTCTCTGCTAGTGTACTCGCATTTGTGATGTCGTGTGTAGCCAAGTTCTTGCTGTGTAGTGCTGTAATCATCTGCTGTTGCTCCCTATCCACTGTATCTGCTGCTATACCCAAGTGGTTGTTGTTGTCCGCATAGATCAGCATTGCTGTCCCAACACTCCCCGGCTCCGTGCCCAACCTCGGCGCACGTGTCCTGTCCTTCAGGAAAGGCACCTGCGGTAAGGCTCTCCGAGCCAGTTCCATGTGGCACTCATGCGCCAGGTGAAAAGCCCATGAAAAACCCATGGGTAAAACCTTCATGCAGGGGTAAATAGGCCGATGAGGTTCAGCAGTAAAAGACAAAAGCTCCGGCGGTTGAAAGCCCAAAATGTGCTCAAGCTTCTCAGGGTCAATGACAGGCAGACTGAAAAACCTACCCAGCTCTATATCTATTTGCAACCGGTAGAAAAAATCTTTCACGTCCTCCTGTGCCACAAAAATCTGTGCCGTGTCCTCCGCCTCCAAACGATTCCAAGCTTCGCTCGAACCCAGGATCGTTGTTGGAGGTCTCCTGAACAGGCGGTTCGCGGGGCGGCAATCCAAAATGAGTCTCTGCTTATCCCCTTTCTTGGTCACCACAAAAGCACCCACTTGGCATCGAGGCTGGTTGGTGAAATGTATCAACTTGCAATTGTACAAATCTGAAATAAACTCGTGATACTTTTGAGGATCTGTGTCAAGTTGGGGGTCAATGTATGAGGAACCTTCGAAGCCCTTCTCAACCTCAGCCGCGATCTCTTCGTCACTCAGCAACATTTTGGTCTCGAAGTTCAGCAATTGGTCTCTTTCTCTAGGTGGGAGAATCGACACTAGATCAACTGGATTGCACTGACCTCTAGGAAGTGACAGCCGGCTCCGGACATAGGAAGCAAGCTGCCCGGGGCCGTCGGGTACCTCCATGTAACCCGACGCCTTTTTCTTCAGCAGCTGCATCAGCGCTGCCTGAAGGCTCTCTTGCATAGGCGGAGGGGCACGTTCACGATGAGCACCTTCCACCCTTCTAATTACTTCTCCTTGGGCTTTGTTCACAGGTCGCAAAGGCCACTCGGCCTGGTTTTCGAAGCCTGCCAGTTGGTTCAGCCCCTTGACTGTAGCTGCTGCCCGGACAAGAAGACATCTCCTCCTAACAACCCTCTGCTGAGCTCGACGAGACCCCAGCTCCCTGCTAGCCCCTGGAAAAAACTCATCCACTGGAAGCGGCAAAGGAAAAAGATCTCCAAAACGTCCCCTGGGATAACTGGAAAACTGTTTGGCGCCCAAAACATGGTCAGAGGAAATCGCGGCGCCATGCGACCTCCTCCCACCTCTCATCTTAGGGATTCTCTGGGGCCTTCTCCTTCTTAGGCCCCTTTCCATCCCCCTTCGGAGGTTTTTCCCTGAGTTGCTTTCTCTCCTCAGCCGCCAGCCGGGTTTGCTTGAGCACCTCTGCCCTCTGAGCTTGCTTCCGGGCAGCATGTTGAGTCAGAGCGGGATCAATGATGCTGCCATCCCCGCTCTCACGATACCCGAGCATATCTTCCCCAGCTGCGTAGTCAGGAGCATCTGGCCTGCCTTGGTGAGCATGTTCAATCAAAGTCCGCCTTCTATTGAGGGCTTCAGCGCTCGCCAAGGAAGGTAAGTTCAGCTGGTCATAGGTCATCATGTAATGGAGCACCCGACAAATTGAACCATGCTCATGAACGGATCGATCCGATATCCGCACCCCAGACTTCTTAATCCAACCCTCATGGTGCATCAAAAAGTCCAGGCCCATACGTCGAAGCTGCCTTGAGTCATGGTAAAGCGTCCTAGGCCCCTGGAGGGGATAATCATCGAACTCCACCTCCTCATATTCAGGCACTGCTTCAGCGACCGTTCGATACCGCTCTTCGGAGCTATCAAAAGAGAATTGGCAAGAATCTCAAATCCCGCTCCTCTTTGTCTCCCCCAGAACCTTTCTGGAGCCTAATGGTGTCCTTTGCCTTTTCTACTTCGGATGGTCTATAGCCCTGAGTGAGCAACACCTCGTCACCACAAGGAAAAAGGTGAAAACGTTTTCCACTCACCTCCAAGGTCCGACTGCCAGAAGGTGGAGTCACCTCCTCCCCCAGATCTCCAGAGCCCGTCCGAAAAACCACCAGCCACAAAAGGTCTGCAGGTCCTAGTGCTGCAACAGGAACTGAAGCCACACCACCTCCCGTGCCTCCGTCCCTGAAAACTCTGCCATGCTCATCGACTTTGCCGGTCACCCGGCGGCGCTCCACCACACCGCTTTGCATGCGCTCGGCCCGAAAAACCAGACTCCGCGCTTCTTCTGGCCCAATGGTGCCCAGATCGGAGTGTCGAGGCAAATAAGTATCTTGATCTCTCACTCCGCTGGGCAACCGGCCGCCTATCATCCTTTTGATCTCACTGTAGGTGTCTCCTACTTCAAGAACTGTGGTTTCAATGTCTCTGTCGGGGGTACAAACTATACACTTGCTTTCCTCCAAACAAAGTAGAATCAGCCTATAATGGAGAAGGGTCTCGTCGTCTCGATAACGTACGAGCGCGGCGTCTTGCTGAAGCCACTGCCTCTGAGACGCCATCCTGCTCCACAGCGTCTTTGCCGATAGAGCAGGGAGATTTCTGATAGGGCAAGCAAATCTCCAGCGGCTGACCCCTCTGAGCGACCGTTCTCTGGCCGTAGCTCAAAATCAACAGAGTACCAATGCAACCACTTACCAGCCCTACAATGAAAATCACCAAATGAATCAAAGGACCTGGCTGCGCCACCAATTCCAACAACTGCCCCTTGTGAAGCTCACACTTTTTCAGATCCTCACCCGATTGCCAAGAATCCCTCAGTCTTCCCTCAAGATCCAGCACCCGGTCCAAGCAGCTTGATGGTGTCTTTGGACGGCTCAGCTCAGCCACCCACGAGGCCCCGATGCGAAGCGTCTCCACCGCGAGTCCACGGAGAAGCTCGCGCCACACGACCATGCTAAACTGCAACTCGACTTGAGATGTGAAAAACATCAGAGACAGAAATTCAATTCACTACTCCAAAAACGTTGCACTAATATAACACATGCAATATATATATATATATACACATAACAATATACTATTATATATATATATATATGATTTTAGTATTATACTTACGGACTGAAACTTAGAATGCCTTTTCAAATCCCAAAATTTCATCGCGCACACTTAGAATGCGCCTCCAAAAATGTACACTTAGAATGCTACGGCCCTATCCCCATATAATATGAAAAGGCTATCCAAGTTTCAGTCCAGCAAGAATTCAGTCTCAAGATATCAATTACCTTTGTAAAAGTGAAGATTACCAAGGATGTTAATATAGATTTGTTCATAGCTATATACACATGTCATCATATATCCACATACATTTTCTGGAGTTGGATCCACATCCACCACATGACATACTCCCAACCGACCGACCGACCGACAGCAACCACCC